TATATTTTATGAATCAATCATAAAAGTATAAAATTGTAAACATTAGAAATTTGAACGATTGTTTTTTACGATTCCGCAACAAAATATTATAAGTATTTTATTACTCTGTGAGTATCTAAATAAAACTTACAATGACCCACAGTGATTATTTTTGTCATAATCCAGTGGTTTAATTCAAACCAACATAATAATAATTATCCTAGTGATTGGAAATACATAGCTCATTTGAAATAATTTTCCAACTAATGATTGTATCTATGTTATTARAAATAAAACATAAATTATAGTAAAAAAATCACACCTGTAGGATAAGGTATGTGAAGCTTTTTTGACTGTTCCTTGTCCATGCTAACGAATTCACGTGACTTTAAACACTACGATTTATTTTTAAACCACTGTAGGATTAGCGAGTATTTGCACGTATGTAGTTGAACGTCAACGAAATCGGCGACTGAGCGGTTTTCCTATACGTTTCACAAAACATAATCCAATGTGAAATTTTAGTGGGGATATGTATAGTGGTAAGCGGTTAGTTAGAATATTGCAGGTATAATGGTATATATATATATATATATATATATGTATATTTTTGTAAGTATCTACTACGTAGGTACACTATAGTGATAATATATTTTTTTTAACTAATAACGATTTATCAATATAGTTCATAAGGCTTTACATTTTTATGATAAATTATAATAAAAGTGCAGGTAAGTAATTTATAATGTAAGCAAACATTATGCGACCTGCTGGCTGCTACTGGTTTTTGTTAATAATAATAAATAATAATAATATCAATTTTTTACTAATATTGAGTTAAAACGAGTATCATAAATCGATAAAAATTAAATAAATAATTTTTGTTCAGAAGCATTTTTACCATGACAGTTGTAACTCAAAATCCGTGAAGGTGGATCATACGTTTGTAACTAATTTCAACAAGTAAATTTAAATTTCAATACATATTTAAATATTCTTGAATATTATTTACTTGTGTGTCATATTATGTTTGAAATAATTTAACAAGGGAATTTAATTTTTAATATAATAGGTATTTATTTTTATACTGCAGATAATTTATTAGTATACACAYGAAAAAGTTTAAAATTAAAATTATAATAATTTATATAATTATAAATAATTGTTTAAATTATAAAATTTAATTTATTTATTATAACAGTATGTTGTCATTAAAAAAAGTAAAAACTATAAAAACATAAAAATACTGTTTTTCAACGACGATAGAAAACCAAGTAAATTTTATTTTTTCAAAAACATCCATAATTTTTTTTAAATAATAAGAATTTTGCAAATATTAAAGAATCACCGGTAAAATACTACGTATATCTATAATTATGGTTTTACGATATCTACGAAGTTGAGATTTTTTTCCTTCCGTGAACCAATTATACGTCTTATTATGATATATCTTGGTTAATTTTGTTTTACTGAAATGAGATGGGCAACTAGAAATCCAGGTATATATTTATGTTTGAACATAACTGCACGAGTATAACGATGCCCAATAAATCGTTTCGCGAGGTCATATCTTAATACGAATAGATATAGTACCTAATATATAGTACCTAATTTATATGTATAGTAACTAATCACATTTCTCCCTTCTAAACGTCATTCATAGTGTTTAATGGTAAATAACGATTATTATACACACAGTGATGGTGATGGAGATTTTTCTATAATATACTCATTAATCACTTAGGAGTTAGGACCATATTTTTTTATATCGTATAAAATAGTAATTTATCCCATATTACAAATGTATCTTCAGCATGCTCCTAATATTTTAGATTACATAATATCGAATCGAGAGCGGTGCAAGTTTTTTTTTGGGGGGAGGGGGGAGAGAAGTAGTTTACTTTTTATGTACCTTTTTTAGCTTTACAGTAGCTTTTAGGTGTCAATGTATCTGGCATAACTAAATATTATGATACTTTAAAATCACTTTGATACGAAACAGTATTTTTTAATACACCATATATTTGACTACTAAACATTGATGAACTACATGTATGTTTATACATTTATTTACAAAAACAAATACATTTGTCTTAAACAAAAAAAAAATTAAGTAGATACTGTTGCTTTTTATTTTTTTATTTTTATCATAATTATATCAATTATTATTAAGATTCTAAACTAAATGACTAACGAAAAATGTATTGGTTTATGATTTTTGAATCATATATTTAGTAGTAAGTATTTATAATACTTTCTTATATAGAAAAATATAAGATAGATTCTAAGAGTTTCACATATCATGATATCTGTAATGACTGTAAGACTTACTAGTTAGGTATACATATTTAATGATAGAATTATCTTCGTTATTTATTTATAATTTTTCTAATATATTATTTGACATGTTGACCTTGTCATCTTGTTTATTAAAATGGGTAATTACATTATCAAAGTTAGATCATACTAATTACAACAATAATTACCAAAGTAAATAATTTATAATTCAGCTATAATATAATAGACAACAATTAATGATCCTACCTCAAATATAATTATATAGCAAATATTATATAAATAATATTGACACGCGTTTAGTTAGTACACATTTTCTTCACAATATAATATGTATGCGATAAATATATCTTAATTTATAGAATACAGTTTTGGTTAATAATACGTTGAATTTTTTTTTTTGGTGATTTTTTAATGAAGGGATACCTATAATTATTGCGATAGGTGGCACACGGGGGGTTTTAAGAGAAATACAATTATTAAAATGATTATTAATTTTTTTTTTTTATTAATCCTGTCCTGCCTTGTTATGTGGCTAGGTAACATACTAAAATGTTCAATCTGTTTGTACTGTGCACCCTCAGCAAAAATGTTCGGCGCACGCCAATGAAATATATACTCGTACATTAAATTATAAAACAAAAAGAGCTACGCAATTTAATGCTTGGCAGTTGGTCGAACTAATAGTAGTTTCCGACTGGTGATCCGTATTCATCTCAAATTTTTATGTAATTTAAGACTTTTTATGTTCAAATATTTTTAATAAAAATCAAAGAAAATATGGGAATCAACATTTAAACACAAGATTTACTGTATTGTTAATTTCATTTAAAGTTATGTAGATAGGTAGTTATTAATCATCAAATACTTTTACTCAAAATTTAACATCATAAATACCATTAAATACAAAATTTTTTAACCCTATCCATCAATTAACATCTACTAAATCATCTATTAAAATAAATTGTAATGACCTATCAAACTAAAATCATWAACTTATTGAAAAGGTAATCATCAAATAAAAAAAACACACACTTTAAGTGCTACGTAGTATGGTTACAATCTGCAAACATGATACATCATATTATATAAAGTGTATTGTATATTTATTAAAAAATACTATATTTCTTCATTTCGGTTAAGCATATATTGTAAGGTCAAGTTAGGTTAATTGTGATGCGAAAACACATTATTTATAACAAATTATTAAAATTTATTAAAACGTCTCGAATGTTCCAGTTTTTGAGGAAAATGTAAAATCAAATCATATTTTGTCCAATATTTAATATATAATACGCATAGAGCAAGTGAAGTATTGTAATTGTACGATTTTTATTGTTCATGTACGATGTGCGTTTGACAAATTGTTTTTGTACACAATATAAATACCAACATTTTTAATGTTTTTATTATTATTGTATAATTATTTGACCATATCAATATAATATATTATATATAATTAATAACCAGAAACTAGAAAATTGATTAACTAAATATTAATTATATATCATGTAGCTATGGGTATACTCACATTATATATACTAAATAAATTAACTAGGTACCTATATTTTATATAATATTCAGTTATATATTACATTTAATACAGAACAATTTATTATGCTATAATATTATGTGTGGTACATGAATATATTAATGTATATAATAAAAATATTTTATTTTTGAACAAAACACAACAGAAATTGAAATTTATTCKCATTCATTTCATTAATATAATATTGCCATCTCTGTGATTAATTTTAATAACTATATGCAGTAATAATGGTCAAATCATTAATTTTCTTTGAATTAATTAAATTCAAACAGTGTATAGATATTAGATACATAATTGAGTACGATTCGTGTTTAATTATTGTTGAAAAAAATGAAATACACAGACCGTTTTGGAATGTACAAATAAATGATTTAAGGTTTAATTTTAATTACACATTTTTGTACGATTTATACACATTTATTAGGTTAAACAATGTCCATTGCAGTATTCGTTGCTAAGCAGATACGGTTTAACTGATTAAATTTTGGCAGGGTAAATCACCCGAGTCTCGTATAGGTTTAGGTGTTAGATATAAATGTATTTTACAATATAGGTAAGCAAGATGGAATCCAGTGGAGCCGAGAACAGTGGCGGCCTAAGGTGCATGGCTATATGAATGCATGGCCACCCGAAATGTCAGTACCTATTCTTACAATATAGGTTGGAGCGTTATTTGTGTTTGGAGTCATTTAGTTTGTAGCTTAAGAATAAGATCGTTATAAACGAAGGAATTACACTAAAATAAATAAATCCATAATACATTAAATGTACAAATCTTTTTTCTAACAAAAAAATGTTMTTATCGTTTCTTTAGAATCAAAATACAAAAACATAATTTGATTGTTCAGTAAACAATTTATTCTTCACGCACATTATTCATTTTATTACCTCCCTAAGTATTCTAGTATCATAGTCTATTGAGATAAATGCCATATCATACMCCATTGGATTTGTAGATAGTTGTAGCAGACTGGCCTTCAAGTTGTTATTAAAACAATATCTAATTATCTTAATATCATGATAGAACAACTCTGTTCATTTCTAAATGGTTTTTAAAGTGATTTAATTTATAAATAAAACATTTATAATAGTAATAATAATGCTCATAGTAGAAATTATACCTAAGTACCTAATAATAATAATAATAATAATAATAATAGTAATGATAATGATAACAACACTATAAAATATTATAATAATTAACTGTATTTTTTTCACTTCAATTCGCTAGCAATTACTTTAATAATAAGGCAGCAGCCTAGTCTGGAGTTTCGGTTGTCACCGRTCTGTTATCCGTCACCCGATCGTCGTCGTCGTCACCACTGCCACTACTAATGATCTGCACGCTCCTGATGGGCGTTGGTTGCGTGGTAGTACTACGGTACGCCAGCCTAGTCGTCGAACGCTCGCTGATCCTATCTGAATCGTATCGTGGGCTGGTGGACAATAGCATCCGGATTAGTCCGTCCTTWAGCGTTTGCGTGACTATCGGCGACGATTCTTGGGACTGTTCCGTCGTTGGACTGGGCATCCGGGGCCCCTGATAGTAATTGGGAACGTAGTAGTTGGGTTGCTGATAAGGCATTGGGTATGGAACRGGCGCGGGGTAAGAAGCGACAGAAACGAGTTGAGAAACGCGCGCCTGCACGAACGACAGTATGAGCTCCATGAGTTCGTCCCGTAGAGCCACCAGACTGGGACCACGTTGAGGCAGTGGTGCGAGGTACGCGACCGGCCGCTGTTGTTGGTACGCTGCCGCCGCAGCCATCGTCGGGTACGAGGCTCGCTGCTGGTACAGCGCGGTGGAGGGACGCCTACCGCGGTACTGACCCGTTGTTGGGCCACCGTATTGTTGTCCGTCTTCGTATTCATCTTCTTGGAGCTCTTGCGCTGCTCGTCTGCTGCTGACGACATCATCGTGTCCGATGGGTGTTGGTGGCGGCGGTGGCCCTGTCGGACGACCGTACGATCTGACTGGCATCAGCTCGGACATGAGCGCCGACACAACGGGAGACACAGGTCCCGACTCCTGCATGCTGGACCGGCCGTGCACGCCGTACACGTCGGGCGCATCTCCGTCGTCGTTCCTGGGCAACTGTCTGCGCAGGTCGTTTCCACCACGCCGGTGCCGATCGTCCACGTCATTCTCCGTCTCCGTCCTCAAATCTGGAACTGTGGCCACCACGACRGGTCGCTTGGACACCAATACTTTTTTCACTCCAACTGCTGTCGACTTGACGCCGTCCGACTCGTTGCCGCCGTCGTCCTTTTTATTTTTTCGACCGTCGATCGTCTGCACCCCGGAAGGGGCCGTCGGGTCCGGTGACGGCCTCGGAGATTCACTTCCGGCCGCTTGGAAACCGGACGAGTTGCTGGCTGAATACGACACTCGCTTCAGCCGCCCAGAGTCATCCATGAACCCAAACATTCCCTTAACGTTGCCCGCCACGTCACGGGTCTCCACTTTGAAGCTGCCGTCCGAGGCTTCGTATCCAAACGTGTACGAACCATCGTCGTTCACCTTATTTATCTGTTTGAGGATAGTTACGTCTTTGGGCTGTGTGACCGGCGGAGTTGGCGTGGTTACGCGTTGACCGGAGCCGTCATCAGTCGCCACCGACACTGGTTCGGATCGCTTGGCGTCGGTTTCCGCTCCCGGCGGTACGCCGGACGCCACGACACACGCCAGAAACAGTACCTAGGAACATGTAACGTAGTTATACAGAGATTAATAGACACAAACAGATATGCACGCGGACAGACAGACTGACAGATAGAAAATACAGAAATACGGGTAGGTGGACAGACAGACAGACATACTCACGGACAGGCCGATAGATAGATAGATAGATAGATACCTGCAAGACGGTTGTGAACGAGACCATTGCTCCGGGTGTATTGACAATTGCTGGTGCGTTGTGGGTCTACTAAATAGACTTCGGTCAGGCGGTGAGTCCGCGTGCGAAAGTGATGGAAAATTCTCACGGTGTATGAAGTAACCGCGTGTGAGAATCGCATATTGCAAGTTTCGACAGATTTTTCCGTCAAAAATTGGAGCCCTGGTAAGTCAAATAGACCTCAACGCTGTGAAGTCAAAATGACCAAGGTCGACGAAGGTTAACTTTCTTTTCTAAGCTTGTACGTATTTTGTCATTTTACCATAGTATTAAAAGACTAGTCCGCAGCGCATATTATTACAATAATATTTTGGTACTGATGATAATATGTATTATCGTTATATTTTTATTGTTTTTATATATACACAGATTCCATTAACGTAAAAATATAATTATGTACATAAATATAGCAGAACGATTTAAGTACTGCGTTTCCGTAACGTGAATATTCGATCGACCTTCGCGCGAATAGAATGTATTTGTTTATTGCATAATATTTATCTGCCGTCAAATAAAAACGAGTAAGATTATATAGTATCGGCTCGCTATAGGATTTTGACGAAACGCATACGTCTAGTATGCATAGTTCATCTGTTTTCGATAACAATAAATTACATACAGAAATCAATATTGATATTTTTAATATATATTATATTATATTGTGGGCCTAATTTCAAATTTGCAATTACCGTTGGTTACTTTAGACCCTGATTTCAGAAAGAAAAAAGTACTGTCGTTTTCGATATATTTTGATAAAATATTATTTATCAAAAAATGTTAMAATATTATGAATTTTTGATATAAAATGAAATATAATAATATTGTTTGTATCTAAAATCAAAAATAATGTTGTTTAACGAATGAGATATATTTTGTTCTTCCTGAAAAGTAGTTAATATGGATTTTAAATTCGTATATAAATTAACAAATGCGCATAATATTATGAATACGTCAACAATATTGCGATTTTTCTTGCTTTTACTGTAATATATAAAATGTGTATACATCTAATGAGTTTTAATCTAATATTATGATGATATAAGTATGTGATGTATGATTTTGTAAGGTATATTATAAATCATTAAATCAATAAATTCCTCTCAATACTAAGATATTAATTAACCATATAGTATACCTATAATGCTTCGCCTATCATCTCGCAGAACCACGATAATAATATTACTATTTACTACCAATGTCATGACTCATGAATAATCATCGAGGTATAGACTCGTAGTGCTTGTGCTACCGGTAGCTAGGTATAGGTACCTGGCGGCTTCCTACATATATATTATACACCAACGTAAACATGGCGTTTCAGACGACAATCGACGTAAATAGACAAATCGACCAGCCGCCAAGGTTTATAATAATTATAATATCTTCGACGTCTGTTGACGCAGTCAACTAGTGCCACAATATAATATGCCTTATATAATTATATTAATATTCGGTATATTAACAACACGCYGAACCTGTATCAATACAAATATTATAATAATGAATCGTGCACATAATTCGTAGCTACGTTTAAGTATCGTGTTTTATTGAAAACAATAATAATAATATGTTCCATTAGTGCACCCGACGGGCGACGACGGATGTACAGGTCGCACCGAGTGCGAAAGTGAAACAACAAACAACTGTATTTGATTATTTGCAATGTGACAGTAAGTTGTGGATAGGTAACATAATACTATGTTTGTGTAAAAAATGAAAATACAATATAGTTAACAACCACCTGTGCCAGTCCGAGCAATGACCCGTCGAACACAATGTCGCGTGTGTCGTGTGCAATTATTATGCTGCAAAAGAAACTATAATAATATTCTACACACATATGTATATATAAATCATATAATACTTTGCACTCGGACGAATATGTTTACGAACGGCAAACGAGCGCGTAGGTACACTAGGTAYATAATATTATAAACAACAGTAGTTGGGCCACAACAGTGAGAATGRCAGCTTCGTGACCCCGTTCTTGCGCGTGTTAACCGCGATATTGTTTTATAATTTTATTGTAATATTATATTTTTATACTTACATTATAAAAGTATATATCATACGAATATCTGTGGGAAAATTATTATTAGGTTTCATTAAACAGTCATCCGGTTGCCCAATGGTAGGTAACAAATATTTCGGTAAAYGCTGACGATTTATGTCTATAATAATTCCAAATAAATGTGTACCTATTCATTATACAATAGTACAATACTATACTGTTCACAGGCCACTCTGTTCATTTCAAAAAATTGCTAAACTGTTATATTGCATTGACGCAGATCTCCGCTAGTTCTAAAATCTCGGTTTGATTAGAAAAATAAGATTAGAATACCAATAAAGTACAGTATTTTTCTATTTGTTATAGGTAACTGACTGAATATTTTAA